GATGAGCCCAATTTAAGGAAAAACTACTAAAGGAGGGTGTTCCACATTATTAAGCAGATCACTATTTTCAAGCAATATGGGGAAGAAAAAGGATCTCTCTGCTGCCGAAAAGAGTGAAATAGTTCAATGCCTTGGATGAGGTATGAAAACATTAGATATTTCACAAAAACTTTAAGCGTGATCAGCGCACTATTAAGAGATTTGTGGCTGATTCAGAGCACAGATGGGTTTGTGCAGATAAAGGCACATTGAGGAAGATTTCTGCCAGATCCATGCATCGAATCAAGAGAGCAGCTGCTAAAATACCATTACATAGCAGCAAACAGATATTTGAAGCTGCTGGTGCCTCTGGAGTCCCACGGACATCAAGGTGTAGAGTCCTCCAGAGTTTTGCAACTGTGCATAAGCCTTCTATTCGGCCACCACTAACCAATGCTCACAAGCAGAAACGGCTGCATTGGGCAGAAAAATACATGAAGACTAATTTTCAAACAGTCCTGTTCACTGATGAGTGCCGTGCAACCCTGGATGGTCCAGATGGATGGAGTAGTGGATGGTTGGTGGATGGCCAACCTGTTCCAACAAGGCTACGACTTCAGCAAGGCGGTGGTGGAGTCATGTTTGGGCCGGAATCATGGGAACAGAGCTGGTCGGCCCCTTTTAGGGTCCCCGAAGGTGTAAAGATGCCCTCTGCAAAGTATGTGGCGTTTATGACTGACCACTTTCTTCCCTGGCACAGAAGGAAGAACTATGCTTTCCGTAATTAAATCATCTTCATGCATGACAATGCACCATCTCATGCTGCAAAGAATACCTCTGCATCAATGGCTGCTATGGGGATAAAAGGAGAGAAAGTCATGGTGTGGCCTCCATCCTCCCCTGACCTCAATCCTATTGAGAACCTTTGGAGCATCCTCAAGCAAAAGATCTATGAGGGTGGGAGGCAGTTTACATCCAAACAGCAACTCTGGGAGGCTATTCTGACATCTTGCAAAAGAAATTCAAGCAGAAACTGTCCAAAAACTCCCAAGTTCAATGGATGCAAGACTTGTGAAGTTGCTATCAAATAAGGGGTCCTATGTTACAATGTAAACGTGACCTGTTAAAATGTTTAAAAACGTTAAAAATGTTGTTAAAAGTTTGATTGAAATAGCTTTTGATTTCAATAAATATGCTGCAAACACAAAAAATGACAATTTTCAGTTCTTTACAGCCTATAAAGTGTGTTTTGGAACTTACTGTGCGGAATAATTTGGAACAGTGCATTGTAAGTGTTTTATGTTTAAAAATACTGTTATCATTAGGAGTAGAGATGAGCGAATCGAACCAGGCGAAGTGGAATTCGATTCGAATTTCAGGAAAAATTCGATTCGCGTCGAATCCGAATATTAGCCTACTTCGGGTGCGCGAATCGGATTTTTCCCGATCAGCCGGCAAAAGTGTCCCTGCAGAGAGCTCCGCTATTTCTGACAGCTCTCTGACAGTTCCTTCACATGTACAGCGGTTGAAACATTGTATCTATTTGTTTCAATTTAGGATACAGATGTTTTTATTCGAAACAGATACAATGTTTCAACCGCTGTAAATGTGAAAGTCAGAGAACTGTCAGAAATAGAGGAACTCTGCAGATACACTTTTGCCGGTTTGGAATTATTCTTATTTTCATCCTACTTCTTCTTCTTCTTCTTCATCCTCATCCTCAGAAGAAGAAGAAGAGGATGAGGATGAAGAAGTAGGATGAAAATAAGAAGAATTCCAAGCCGGCAAAAAGTGTATCTGCAGAGCTCCTCTAAGTGTATCTGCAGAATAGAGGAGCTCTGCAGATACACTTTTTGCCCGGCTTGGAATTCTTCTTATTTTCATCCTACTTCTTCTTCTTCTTCTTCCTCTTCATCCTCATCCCCTTCTTCTTCTTCTGAGGATGAGGATGAAGAAGAAGAAGAAGAAGAAGAAGTAGGATGAAAATAAGAAGAATTCCAAGCCGGCAAAAGTGTATCTGCAGAGCTCCTCTATTCTGCAGATACACTTAGAGGAGCTCTGCAGATACACTTTTTGCCGGCTTGGAATTCTTCTTATTTTCATCCTACTTCTTCTTCTTCTTCTTCCTCTTCATCCTCATCCTCTTCTTCTTCTTCTGAGGATGAGGATGAAGAAGAAGAAGAAGCAGAAGTAGGATGAAAATAAGAAGAATTCCAAGCCGGCAAAAAGTGTATCTGCAGAGCTCCGCTAAGTGTATCTGCAGAGCTCCGCTATTTCTGACAGTTCTGTGACATTCCCTCCATACAGCGGTTGAAACATTGTATCTATTTGTTTCCATAAATGGAAACAAATAGATACAATGTTTCAACCGCTGTATGGAGGGAATGTCACAGAACTGTCAGAAATAGCCTATTTCTGACAGTTCTGTGACATTCCCTCCATACAGCGGTTGAAACCGCTGTATGGAGTGAATGTCACAGAACTGTCAGAAATAGCCTATTTATGGAAAACAAATAGATACAATGTTTCAACCGCTGTATGGAGGGAATGTCACAGAACTGTCAGAAATAGGCTATTTCTGACAGTTCTGTGTGACATTCCCTCCATACAGCGGTTGAAACTCCTTCTTCTCATCCTTCTCCTTCTTCTCATCCTTCTCCATCTTCTCATCCTTCTCCTTCTTCTCATCCTTCTCCTTCTCCTTCTTCTCATCCTTCTCCTTCTTCTCATCCTTCTTTCTCATCCTTCTCCTTCTTCTCATCCTTCTTCTCATCCTTCTCCTTCTTCTCATCCTTCTCCTTCTTCTCATCCTTCTCTTCTTCTCATCCTTCTTCTTCTCATCCTTCTCCTTCTTCTCATCCTTCTTCTCATCATCCTTCTCCTTCTTCTCATCCTTCTTCTCATCCTTCTCCTTCTTCTCATCCTTCTCCTTCTCCTTCTTCTCATCCTTCTCCTTTTCCTTCTTCTCATCCTTCTCCTTCTTCTCATCCTTCTCCTTCTCCTTCTTCTCATCCTTCTCCTTCTCCTTCTTCTCATCCTCATCCTTCCTTTTAATAAGTTAAATTCGTAGCGAATTAATTCGCATCGAATCGAATTTCTTCCTCAAATTCGGCGAATCAGCCGAATCGAATTTTTGAATAATTCGCTCATCTCTAATTAGGAGGTTTGTTCAATAAAATTTGAATTGTACTCTTAATAGTTGATAACATGAGAATTATGCTGACTGTTATTTACATCAATTATTTAGGTAAATGAAAAAAATATAATTTGCATAACAATTTGGAACAGGGCGTATATATATATATATATATATTTATTTACAATTGTGTTATACTGCACAAACAAACACACACACACACACACATATATATATATATATATATATATTTATTTACAATTTGTTATGCTGTTTTGTTGTCTTTCAGCCCTGATAAGGAGGGATTTCACTGAAAACACATTGGCTATAGCTTTTGACCTCTTGGGTTGGGCAAATTTTTACTGGACTTATTTTTGATTTGCTTTTCAGACTGCTTCAGGGATCCCCAGGATCACCCCTGTTGGCAGTGAACAGCCTACATAAACTTGAATTTGAAACCCATCCTCATACAAATCTGGGTCCAGCACCCTACCAACAGTTGTTTAGCGAGTAAATAAACAATGGTATACTTTGAAGGATGGCTTTATTCTAATTACACGAGCAACCCACTCATATCACATACAGTATGTAGATCCCTATTGTCAATGTATCACCAATATACAAATAATTTCACCAATATACAAAAAACATTTACACATGAGTAAGCATCTGTCGTTCTTTCCAAATAAACCCGTTTTCTGTTGTTAACAATGATAAGCTATTTCTGACAGGTTCCCCTTAAATTTGTCAAATTTGCCTTTAAGCGGTTGGAGTTATAAATTCCACTCTGGTATAGAATTGCACTTTCTTCATTTTCTTTGGCTTCTTTATAAGGAAACTCTATCTCGTAGTCGGTTCGGCAATTATCCTCACTGTATTTTGACTGTAATGTTTAGCTTATGAGAGTTCCTCAAATATTTTTTGATTTCGAGCCGTTTTTTTTTCCCATAGCCGTGCATTATGAAAATTGTGTTTACATAACTGTGATCTTAGGGCTGGGAAGGAAACAATGAGTCACAGAGAAATGGTGAGGGCTGTTAAATGTCATTGGAGACGTGAAGCTTCCCACCGGCGGTGTAATAAACAATTTCCACCCCTGGAAGGTTGCTTATGGCATCCTATACCTCCTATAATTGATCATTTATCAGTGAGGTATTAATATACATTACCTGGATACCCTCCGTTGCCTTTTCTCTGTTCTTTGGAATAGGATATGAACGGAAACGCGAGTTCCCGGAAACATCAATAGCGGAGAGCTGACAAGATGTAGAGGCAGATAAGGGGGCTCAGAGGGGATTCTATCTTGGATGAGAAGGTTATTGCAAGCAGCTCAACATAAACAAACAAAGCTGTTAAATGATCACGTCTTATTTTTTATAGTATTGATAGAGACTTAACATCAATCTCCCGAGATATGGGGAACAGAAGGCGAGGACCAGGAGACATTTATTCTGCTGAGGCCAATAGAAAGCGGCATTTCATTAAACTGAACTCCAAACAGATAGAGAAGACATAAATGAATGCAGCTCCGTATTTATTAACCACTTGCCGACCAGCAACGTATTGGGACTTAGCTGGATTGAAAGGGTGATATCATTTTTTTAGGACCAGCGATTCCCATTAAAGTAAAAGTAATCCTAGTGGCTAAGAGGCCACTCCATTACTTTTACAGGTGGCGGAAGGGGGTCTCACCTCCCTACTGCTGCCGCCTTTACTGGGATCTCCCAAGCAATCGGGGAGCCCAGTAAGGATGCCACCAGTGCGGACTGACAACTCATGGAGCCCCCAGGCAATAGGGGATCATAAGGGCCCCTATGTCCTTGCCCAAACTCAAAAAAGCCTATGAAAAAGGTACTAGGGGCATCTCATGGGGCCCCCTACTGACCTCGGGCAGTGCCCGAGTTTCCAAATGGTCAGTCCGCCCCTGCACCAGTGGCATCGGCTTTCCAGGACATGGTGAGAGGAACTGATCTTGTTACATAGGTGTCCTTTTATGAAACAGAGATCAGCGGCGATCCTGAGTATCGTTGCTGATCTCCGATCATTTGTGGTTTAGGAAACAGAGATGATTCGTGGAGAACATGTTCATGATCATCTCTGCACACAGATGGCCAGTATATGAAGGAGCGATGTCAGACCTTCACTGGTGATCTGTGTTCTCCCCTGCAGATTCTCCAGCCCAGAGCTGAAAAATCGGAGGAACCGCAAACTAAGCAGCAATAATTTACCTCTGCTTACTAAACAGTGTTTGACTGATCCATTTCTTGATCTCGCGAGATTATAGTAAAAGCAGCTGTTTTCCAGCGTTTGTAGATCGTTTTCCCTTCGTTTGGAGAACTGATCTACACCGCTTCATAAAAGGCATTCACAGGAGAACTGAGCAGCGATCATTTACCGCTGCTTGATAAGAGGACACCATAGTACATAATTAGGGCCAGGGGCGGACTGACAACTCATGGGGCTCCCGGGCAATAGGGGATCATGGGGCCCCTGTGTCCTTGCCCAAACTCAAAAAAGCCTATGAAAAAGTTACCAGGGTAATCTCTTGGGGCCCCCTACTGACCCTGGGCCCTCGGGCAGTGCCCGAGTCTCCAAATGGTCAGTCTGCCCCTGATTAGGGCTCATGTACACTGCAACTGACAAACTCACGTTTAGGAACTGTTCAGTGTTTTTTTCAGCAGCCCCTGAACTCACCCTAATGTTTTCCTGTGTGTCCATGTACACATCTTCGTTTACAGTCATTTACAGACATTTGAGTTTACAGTCATTTTTTTGAACGCAGAAAACTTGCGTTCAGCAGTCGATTTTATCAGAGTTTCAAACGCAAAATGCTTGTAAACATGGCTAAATGCGGCAAATCGCATTTATGAGTGCTTGCGTTTGAACCTTTTTTCAACTGTTCCAGTTCCCAATGCTGTCCAGAGCCTTTTTTTCATCATGAAAAATGCATGCAAAGCGTTTTCAGGGTACTCAAATGGACAAAACACTGAACACAGGATGTTCCTACCAAGCTTGCAATTCACACCTCAGACCTCTCCCACCCTTGGAAACAAAAGATATGTTAATGAGCAACTCACACCTAGCTAATCTCAACACATACTGCCGTCTCTGCTTCTACTTCTGTATTTCTCTGAAACAGTCTGGAATAGTTCATAATTTACCACTTTTCAGTGCATTCTGGGCATTTGAGAGGTTCTCCTGTGCTTATGTTTAAAAAACACTTCGAAATGTAAACATGCATAATTGCGCATAAATGCATTATGCAAACGCAGATAAACAGACGTTTTTTAACTTACGTTTTCCAACAGTCAGTTTCCATCGTTCAGAAGTGTCCTGTGCACATGGGGCCTTAGTCAGCAGAAAAAAGAAAAAGTCCATCCAGTTCAACAACAAACAAAAAAAAAGTTATAATCCAGTACCCACAGTTGATCCAGAGGAAGGCAACCCCCCCAGTAAAGCATTATCCAATTATTCCGTGTGGAAAATGCAGGTCACCACTAGGGCTGCCACCTCATCCCTTTAAAACTGAACACTTATTAATGACACAGGTTCTGAGGCTAATTTAACCACTTCATGTCCGGACACTTTCACCCAATTCCAGCCCAGGACAATTTTCAGCTGTCAGCTCTGTCACACTTTGAATGACAATTGCGCGGTCATGCAACACTCTACCCATATAAATTTTTTTGAGACAGATAAAGCTTTATTTTGGTGGTATTTATTCACCACTGGGATTTTTATTTTTTTTGCTATATAAATGAAAAAGTCCAAACATTTTGAAAAAAAGTGTTTTTCTTTATAAAATTTTGCAAATAAATAATCTTTCTTCATAAATCTTGGCCAAATGTATTCAGCTATCTTTTTGGTGAAAAAAAAACCCAAATTAGTTTATAACCAAAAATTATAATTTTTCAAAAAATGTTTTTCCATTTTTATTATATTTGTTTATATTATTATTTATGTGTTTTTTTTTTTAACATACTGTCACCCTAGCAGTACAGAGTCACCACAGTGCTGGGGGGTGATGAAGGTTTTTTTGTTTTTTTACACTGATTGCTTTTACACCCATAAAGGCTGTAAAATCAATAATTTCTCCTTCTCTCTGACTGCATTCCTTCAGCCAATGAGAAATACTGTGAGAGCTGTGATTGGTCACAGCTTGTCACATGGTGCAAGGCTGTTATGAATAGCCTTGTACCATGTGACCTCTGTGATCATTCACAGATTTCACAACAATAAGCAATGATATCAGGAAGAGACATCTTGCTTACTACTATTCATGTGATTGGCCAATCAGTGATGACATGATCGGGACCTCACGCAGAGGTCCCGTACAGTGATCGGTGTTCATGGTGTTCACTGGATTGCGGTGCCACTCGCTCCCAGGGAACGCACACAAGCAGTGAATATGGCCATCCGCTTCGGCACTGCTCCTGTCTGGCCGTTTATGTACATGGACCAAACGGGAAGTGGTTAATCAGCCACAGAACCTGTGTAATTATTGTGTTCAGTTTTAAAGGGATGAGGTAGCAACCCTAGTCACCATGCAGAAGGTGAACAAGCCCTTAAAGGGCGACATAACACATATTATTGCAAGTGCTTTCAATGGATTACAACAGACCACCAAGGTGTGAATGGGCTCCCCAGCACAGTCTATGACATACAGGTGAAACTCGAAAAATTAGAATATCATGCAAAAGTTAATTTATTTCAGTAATGCAACTTAAAAGGTGAAACTAATATATGAGACTCATTACATGCAAAGCAAGATAGTTCGAGCCGTAATTTGTCATAATTGTGATGATTATGACTTACAGCTCATAAAAACCCCAAATCCACAATCTCAGAAAATTAGAATATTGTGAAAAGGTGCAATATTCTCGGCTCAAAGTGTCCCACTCTAATCAGCTTATTAAGCCATAACACCTGCAAAGGGTTCCTGAGCCTTTAAATGATCTCTCAGTCTGGTTTGTAGGAATCACAATCATGGGAAAGACTGCTGACCTGACAGTTGTGCAGAAAACCATCATTGACACCCTCCATAAGGAGGGAAACCCTCAAAAGGTAATTGCAAAAGAAGTTGGATGTTCCTAAAGTGCTGTATCAAAGCACATTAATAGAAAGTTATGTGGAAATGAAAAGTGTGTAAGAAAAAGGTGCACAAGCAGCAGGGATGACCGCAGCCTGGAGAGGAATGTCAGGAAAAGGCCATTCAAAAGTGTTGGGGACTAACACAAGGAGTGGACTGAGGCTGGAGTCAGTGCATCAAGAGCTGCCACACACAGACGGATCCTGGACATAGGCTTCAAATGTCATATTCCTCTTGTCAAGCCGCTCCTGAACAACAAACAACGTCAGAAGCGTCTTACCTGGGCTAAAGAAAAACAGACCTGGTCTGTTGCTCAGTGGTCCAAAGTCTTCTTTTCTGATGAGAGCAACTTTTGCATCTCATTTGGAAACCAAGGACCCAGAGTATGGAGGAAGAATGGAGAGGCACACACTGCAAGATGCTTGAAGTCCAGTGTGAAGTTTCCACAGTCTGTGTTGATTTGGGGAGCCATGTCATCTGCTGGTGTTGGTCCACTGTGCTTCATTAAGTTCAGGGTCACCCAGCCGTCTACCAGGAGATTTTGGAGAACTTCATGCTTCCTTCCGCAGATGAGCTTTATGGGGATGCTGACTTCATTTTCCAGCAGGACTTGGCACCTGCCCACACTGCCAAAAGCTCCAAAACCGGGTTCAATGAGCGTGGGATTACTGTGCTTGATTGGCCAGCAAACTCGCCTGACCTGAACCCCATAGAGAACCTATGGGGCATTGCCAAGAGAAAGATGAGAGACCTGAGCCCGAACAATGCAGAAGAGCTGAAGGCTGCTATTGAAGCATCCTGGTCTTCCATAACTCCTCAGCAGTGCCACAGGCTGATAGCTTCCATGCCACGCCGCATTGAGGCAGTAATTGCTGCAAAAGGGGCCCAAACCAAGTACTGAGGACATATGCATGCTTATACGTTTCAGAGGTCCGATATTGTTCTATGTACAATCCTCGTTTTATTGATTGCATGTAATATTCTAATTTTCTGAGATTGTGGATTTGGGGTTTTCATGAGCTGTAAGCCATAATCATCACAATTATGACAAATCACGGCTTAAACTATCTTGCTTTGCATGTAATGAGTCTCATATATTAGTTACACCTTTTAAGTTGCATTACTGAAATAAATGAACTTTTGCACGATATTCTAATTTTTCCAGTTTCATCTGTATGTTCCCTGGTCAGTGCATTGCCCCGTGTTTTGCATTGATCAGTATTTTGGAATATTATTATTATACAGGATTTATATAGCACCAACAGTTTGCTCAGCACTTTACAATATAACGCGAGACAATACAGCAACAATACAGTTCAATACAAGAGGGATAGGAGGGCCTGATCCTGGGAGCTTACAATCTAAGAGGGAGGGGCAGCTTACACGGGGCTTCACATTTTCTGCAGCTGGCAAATGACTAACAAATGTGATTTCCAACATAAAGCTCAGAGATCTCCAGCAAGAGCACCAAAGCTCAGATGGAAAATCCATGTCACCCCGTTGTCCTCCTAGGTGTGACCTTGATAAACAGCTTCTACTAGCCATGAGAATAGTAGACGCTGACAGCTGCATTTTCTGTTCCCACATCACACGGAACAAATAAGTCCCAGAAAATATTCCTGATGACTCAACGGCTTTATGATTTCCAACATAAAAATAGGAAAAGACTTGTGGGAAAGGGGGAATAGACAGGCTTTCCTGTGAGTCACCTAGGAAGCCGTGCTACAGATGAACGGAACACTCAGATAATAATCCCACCATCTCACAGCTGATAAATCTATCAGACTCTTCTCACATTGCCTTCAAGGCAGAGAAACTCCGGACAATTGTGTGTTCCGTGTGCAGGAGAGGATACACGCCTGATACAGCTTTATATCTGCTCTCCTTTATAGAAAATATCAGGGGAGTGCAGATTCATGGTAAAGTGGTAATAAACCCAAAACCAAAA